GGGGCGGCCGAAACATACTCTTATCGATTTTGGACTACATGTACTTAAATTAAGGGATCTTAAACGCGCTCAACTTGCACACGAGTCCTCCGAGATCTTTCGCTCTTGTCCGAGAAGGCTAGGTGTAGATCTTACCTACCATAAGATCAGGGGTGTTACTTCTTAAAGACATCAGTAAGAAGGGGCCAAGGAGAAGCAATAGAACGGCTGCAGAAAGAACCAAGAGCCCAGAGGAGGGGGAAAAGGAGGTGAAGGCATAGGGGCAGAAAGTGGAAACGGAGGCAGACGACAGAACATTTGGAGAAGAAGGAAAACGACACAAGTACGATGAGGAGAAGACGGAAAAGGTGAGCCGTAGTTGTCGTGGCTTTGATGACCACGAGGGCAATAAAGAAATACGTGTCATGTAGCTGATTTGGTGGACAACCACGTCCTCATCATCATCCAGTGTCAGATTTGTGGCAGACATCAGCGAGTTCTCCAGTATTTATTTTGCTCGGACGCTCTTAAAAAAGCTACGTTTCCCTAATTTTTCCCCGTTACCCATTTGTTTAGGTTCCTTAAGTAGGTTGCTCTAGGCCTACCCCTGTCTCGTTTGCCTTCGATTTTTCCAGTGAGAGCTAAATGTTCAAGACCTTTATGTCTCTTCAGGTGTTTCAAAAACTGCTGTTGTTTCCTGGTTCTTTTTAATACTGAGATCCCATGTGGGCTTCATCAAGCACTACCTCATTTGATTTCTTTTCTTTCCGCAATATTCTCAGCAATCTCCTAACAAACCACATTTCTGTTGCTTCTATTTATTTTCACTGTCTTTAGTGATTGTCCAGCTTTCACAAGTAATATAGAAGGGTTGACCATAGGCCTACGTAGCATTTCAGAACTTTTATTTTGGCAGTCATTCATTGGTATGTTTCTATTCAACTACGTACCGGTGATAAATAATCACATTATTTTAAGTTGAAGACTTTTTTTTTAAAGACAAGAGTAGAAGCAGAAAAAAACCTAACCGATTTTCAGCTCTTTATGAGATCGACAAAGCCAATGATTTCGTAAACTAACCGGTACACATACTACCGAGCCTGTGACACCCCTATCCTGGACTTTACTAATAAGAACTGAAGAACACAGACGTATACCTACACTTATTTGGTTAATTCCCCAAGCACATAGCGACATCTTGTTATTTTTATAATTATTTTGATTTGATTAATTTCCTTTTAAATTCAGACAGCAACTTAGTAGGTCTACTAATTTGATACACTAGAAACGTAGTAAAACGTCCTCAAATTCCAATAACTCATAATATTATAGGTCTATGCCAAATCTAGAGTGGCGTCGGTGGCATAGTGCCTCGTAATCGTGAGATTATGAGTTATGAGTTCTGGAGTTCGAGTGTCGGCTCGGTCCGACTGTATTTGTGTCCTTGGGAAAGGCACTTTACACGAATTTCCCGTTTGACTCGACGACTGTCCTTTCGGAGATGGACGTTAAATTCGGAGGTCCCGCCTCTTAAATAACCTAACACAATGTAGTGTTGACAGGGGCGTTAAACCTACAATTTCACCATTTTTTCACCGAATCTAGAAAAGTGCAAGGTCCGAAACTTTTTCAGTTTGTTTGTCTGGTTGGTCAATTTTGTAAAATTTTTATCCTATATGCTCATTTACAATAGTTTTGAAAGTGATAATTTAAACAAATTTAAGGCAGGATCACTCGCTTCATTTCTCCCCGCAGGGTGAAGAGGGCCTAATAATATAATAACGACATATATTTTTAAAATGCAGAAAACAGTGTATATCTCTGCAACAACCTTAATCAAGAATCAAGAGTCTATGTCCCAGGTGACACGTAAACGTGATTACCTATCCTGGACTTTACTAATAAAAACTAAAGAACACAAACGAATACCAACACTTATTTGGTTCATTCCCCAAACACATTGCGACATCTTTTTAAGAATTCTCCACGCCGGATGTTGTTTCTGGGCAGTCGTTCTTTTCTATATTCAAGATGGCAGCCTCCGGACGACCAGAGCATCAAGCTCCTCCTGAAATAGTGAGTTTTGAGTTCTCATCGCTGTCAAATATGTGAATAGAAATTGTAAAATGATTTTTGATTTAACAAATTGTAAAACTCTGTTAATTTTTTGATAAATGTATGACATGGGAGTCAACTATATGACATAAATCAGCATAACATGTCATTTCAACAGTCCACAATAATGTTTTGTTATTGATGTAAACATGTTGTATTGTTACTATCGTTCCATCTCTACTTTCAATTTCAATGCCTTCACCTTTTTTGTAATCCTTCATTCATGGCAATTTTACTTCAGTCTGAGTTGAGTCAGCCTTCTGTCCGTCCACACTGTGTGAAAGGAAATTAAGCTGACTGATGAAGTCATACTTCAAGAGCAGCAGGCTCAGGCTCACCATGCCATGTTTGTGTATGAACTGTATCACTGTCTATATGACTGTATGTCACGACCAAGTTCTAATAATGAATAATGTTACTGATTATAAACAATTACACACGATAACCCGGCACGTAGTTTCAGTATCTACGCACACAGTAACCGGGTGCTTATTTTCGGGGGCCCCTTGCCCTTACATGCCGTTAAACTTAGAAATGACGCATCTTTCTGATTGGCTGCTAATTTTAGTAATGTGATGTCATCACTTCCTGGGATACCCACATGGAACGACGTGTTTTCGGTAACATTTCGGATTTTCTAGCCTAGATCTAGATCTAGATCTATTAGGCCTACCTGGACATGATGGAAGACCGCACGAAAATTGCCGTAAAGACGCAGGAGGACTAGATAATATCTAGATCTAGTTCTAGATCTAGATCTAGATATCTAAATTTAGATCTACCAACCCCCCCCCCCCCTCCTGCATGTTTAATCACTAATACATTTTTTAAAATAAACAACAACTTCAAAGTCAAAGCAACTCTACAAATTAGGCCTATAATTTATGGAACTGTTGGTCAGTCGGGAGGAGGAAAAGAGAAAAAAAAACTGTCCGGGACCGGAATCGAACCGCTCCAAAAGTCATTGCTCGACATCAAACGCAGACGCGCTATCAAATCAGCTATCAGAACTTCCGAGAAAATGGTGTAGATTAAGCATAATATAGATACATAGACACTTCCATCTTTGGTGCCGTGCGGTTGTCTATACTTAGATGTAGTCACGTGATCGGAGGGGTATCCTGGTCTGACATCAAACAAGATGGGCGCCTTACCTAAAAATAATTTGCATCATTTCTACTTTTACTTTTAATCGCATGTCTTGCCCTTGAGCTAGGTGAAAAGTAAATAATGCTTCACTCTCTTCATGACACTGACTTCTTTCGCTTTTGTTACCGAGAATTCTCCAATGATGGCCTGATTACTTTAACAATTATGACATAGGCCTTAAAAGAATCTATTCGTTTTTCTTCCGTTGCTTTAAAAGAAAGCTTTGTCCGAGTTCTGGTTACTTGGGCCCATCATCAAGACCTGTCAAATGCTTGTTGCATTAGCATCAAGCGACATGACCTCCTACGTGTGAGTAGGCCTAACGTGTGTGTCGGGGACCGTCAGTTGTCGAGGTCAACACAAAGTTCATTCCCATTGGTCGCGTTGGTCGAGGTGTTTTTTAGGACTTAACCTCTATGTGGGACGACTGAGGGGAGTGGGTGGGGGTATTTTTTTTACACTTGTGTGCCGTGATACTTCAACTAATTGAGGATAAAGGAATAAGAAAAAAATAAATGAACAACTTTGGTGTGTTTTTTGTTGGGGGTTTGTTGTTGTTGGGGGGGGGGTTGCTTTGAGTGTGTTGCTTTTTTTGGCTTGACAGTTGTCTATGAGGAAACAGGACGAGTGTGTTCCATTATTTGGGTTCAAAGTTTTATGTGAACCTGGATACAAATAAATACAATAGAAAAACGGGGAAAAAATGAAAGAAGTCAAGGTCATGAAGGGAGGGAAGTATTAACCGTGCACATAGCTCAGAGGCCGCCAAAACTAAACACCCAGTTACCGTGTACGTAGATGCTGAGACTGCGTGCCCAGTTACCGGGTACGTAGACACTCCAAAATAATTATTTAATTTTGATTTATTTAAATTAGGCGTATTTACTTACAACTGACTTATTTTTAGTCCTTGGGTTTCAGATCATTATCATAAGTTGCTCTCGTTCTTTCATCTGAATGTTGCAACCAAGATGAATGGTGTTTATACGTTAAAATGTTTTATTTAGGCTTAATCCAATATGTTTTCTCTCTTTTCAGTTTTACAATGAAACAGAAGCAGCAAAATACACAAGCAAGTATGTGAATGTTATGAATTAAGATGCTGTAGTTGCAGACTCTCCAAAGTCAAAATGTTTGTTTATAACTGTTAGGCCGACTCTGTTTTTATGTTTACCATAAGGGTTATTTAAATTTAAAACACGTTTGCAAATTAAATTCAAAGTCTCTGTGGGGAGATATCCTGTTCTTGATGTTGTTGAGTACTCGGTGTGTAATTAATGTGCAATTCAATAGATTTATGTTAGGGTTTCTGAATAAGAATTGTGCCACTCTTTATTTTGCTTTTTTTTTTTCCCTTAGGCATTTATTTGTTTTAACAATAATATGATAGTATATATAGTAAAGGTGTGTTTCCTGTACTTTGGATCTGAGTTCAGATTTTGAAATCTTCAAATGTGATAATTTCCTTCCAGCACTCGAATGATAGAGATCCAAGAGAAGTTGTCAGAGAGAGCGCTTGAATTGTTGGCCTTACCAGATGACGAATCATGCTACGTGCTGGATATTGGGTAAGTGTAGTGGGTGGTTGGTGGGTGCTCTGGTGTGGTTGCAGAGATGCCAATCCTACGATTGATGCAGTAGACTCCCGAAAAATGAGTCGGTCTACCGATCCCCCGGCCATTGCCTGAATCTCCCGATTTTCCTTATTTTTTCCCAATTTTGACTGCAAGCCGAGAGAAGTCTCAAAGAAATAACTGTCACCAATGGAAATTTAGCCAAAGTTCTGATAACATGTCAAGGGAAGCAACCCAAAAAAAATTCAAATATTTAAGAGCTGTTGACAGAGTTGTTTTCCTTTTTTTTCCATGCACTTTGACACCTGGAATTTCAATACCCATCAATACAATATCGATTGTCAAAATAGGCTGGAAAGGTGCAAGGCTGCCACTACTAAGCAGCTTTCACAAGCTCCTTGCAATTGAAAGCGATGGATTCTTGTAAATAGTGTTTTATATAGAACCTTCAACAAGTATGTGTATATTATAAGGAAGTGTTTAAAAGCAGAGATTTCATTTTTATAACCTTGTGACCATGACCCTCCTATTTATTGTAGCTGAGAAATGAGAGATTTGTTTGTAGGCCTACAGTGTACTTTTACTACCTTCCTAAGTGATAATAACCGTAAAAATCAACTGCTACATGTATGGCCCTTTGGCAACACAAGTAGTGTTAATAATTCATCTTTAATCTAAACGGATAGATCAAGAACTTTACATAATATTGGTAAATAAAATTTAATGCATTATAATCTCCTTTTTTGGGGGTTAAATTCTTAGCATAATATTTACGGAAACATGCGATTGTGAAATCTCCCCTTTTTTTTTTCATTTCTCCCGAAAAATTTTGGCTCATCTCCCTAACATCTATCCTGGCGGGTTGGCATCTCTGAGTTTGCTCCTTCTTTCTTATCAAACAATAATCTATCGTCCTGATCTCTCCTTCTCTTTTATGTTTATTACTCTCTTTGTAACACCTTTAATCTTCGGCACTTATATGACCTTATTGTGTTGCAAGTGTCATAAAACTCTTACTAAAACTAAAAGGATAAGTGTTGAGGTCTGCTAAAAGAGAACAGAGACTAGAACACTTCTATGATTTCTTTGCTTTTTCTTTTTAGCTTTTTTACAAAAAGGTTTAATTTTCTTTGTTCATCTTGATAGTTTGTTTATTTTTAACTTTATAGCTGTACTTCTTTTTATTTAGTGGGGCAGGAGGGGGTATCAAAACTTTTAATTTTTTTTTTGTGGGGGTTTTTTTTTCATGTTAATCTTGTCTCACATAATATTGCATTTTCATATTAAATGTTTAATGTTTTCCTTTTTTCCTCTCCGTGCTCCAGATGTGGGTCCGGTTTGAGTGGCGATGTTCTCACGGAAGCAGATCACACATGGGTCGGCATCGACATCAGCTCCAGCATGCTCAGTAAGGCTCAGAGACTGTGCCAGTTGTCGCTTAGTTATCTGTGCTTTTTTTGTCCATCAGTCTCTGTTGTTGTGGCATTTACTTTTCTGGCTTGTTGCAGTGTTTAGTCTCATATGTGTGTCTGTGGATGGTTGGTGTGGTTTGCTTCTTCTCTTTCTTATCAAACATCTATCGGTGGGTGGTTGGCGGGTGCTCTGGTGTGGTTTGCTTCTTCTTTCCTATGAAACATCTATCTTCCTTATCTCCCCTTCTTCATTTTTATGTTTGTTACTCTCTTGTCACACCTCTGATCTTTTGGCGCTCATATGGCCTTATATGCAGTTTCGAGCGCCGTAAAGCCTCTACTAAAATTAAACGAAAACTTTATCGTCCAGATCTCTCCTACTTCTTTTTTTGTGTTTGTTACACTCTTATAACGCGCCTCTAATCTTTGGCACTTATATGACCTAACTCTTACTAAAACTAAAATTGTCAAGGATGGTCATCTTAGACAGGTGGTCCTCAAGGACAGTGACTTTATTATGTTTGAAAAAGTGCAAGGAGGAAAGTGGTTGATTTTACAGATCATTGTCTTGGATAGGTGGCCTTTAGTGCCGGCTCTACTGTACTGCCGCAAGCTGACAAAACGCCTTTTTTTCTTTAGAGCAGTTTCTAGAAAAAGAGTTTTTGTCAAACGTAATGATTCAGAAATAGAGTCATTCCGAAATTTAAATTCTAATTTATTTTAAAAAACTAACCGCAATTTCAATTTGATTTTTTTCTCTCAAGTAGGGTAACTGATCAAGCTTTCGATGTAGGAAATAAAAAATGTTGGCGCCAAAATGAAAGGCTTTTTGGCGGCTTACAGCAGTGTAGGCCAATATGATTGTTTCTGTGACAACAAAAACAACAGATCAACTGAGACTTGGGGCTCAGTTTGTGCTAACATTCCATTTTTATGGGTGCCTGCCTTAAAGAATAAATAATGTGTTGGGGATTTTAGATTAGTTTTTGTTTGGGCTTTGTTTCAAAATTGTTAACACAGGCTTGCCAACCTTCCTGAATTTTTCAGGAAATTCCAGAATTTCCATCATAGTCCCCCCCCCCCCCCCCCAAATTATTATAAATTATTATTTTTTCTTGAACTCAAAGGCATAGAAATGCTGAGGACGATGGGGTATGTGTAGTAATTGTACTGTTACATTCTCATCTCTCTCTCTCTCTCTCTCTCTCTCTCTCTCTCTCTCTCTCTCTCTCTCTCTCTCTCTCTCTCTCTCTCTCTCTCCGTTTCTCCACTGGTTTGTTTGAGCTGTTTTTGTGGTGTTGGTGGGGGGTTTTTTTAGTAGCCTATCGCAGAAATGTGTGTCCGTGGTGCTCAGGAGCAATCAAAATTCCAGAATTCAGTATCTCAAAAGTTGGCAAGCCTGTTAACAGATCAATGGTCATAATGCGAAATAAGTACCAGCAATCAGAAGAACTTTTTCTTACCCAATGCACCAACAGCTCTCTTGTTTGTGGGTGATTTGGTCCTTTCCTTTCTGTCATCTATCGTCCTTATCTCTCCTCCTTGTGGGTAGTTGGCAGATGCTCTGGTGTGGTTTGTTCTTTCTTTTCTATCATCCTATCGTCTATCGCCCTTATCTCTTCCTCCTTCTTTTTTATGTTTGTCACTCTCTTATATCATCTCTAATCTTTGGCACTGATATGACTTTATTGTGTTGTAAGTGCTGTAAAACTCTTCATAAAATTAAAGAAAGCTCTCTTGTTTTCAATTTATGTGTGGAACTCCTGGTCTTCAGGAGTGTGGGTGTTTGACAGGAGCTCTGGTGTGGTTTGCTCCTTCTTTCCTATCAAACGACTATCATCTGAATCTCTCCTCCTTCTCATTTTATGTTTGTTACTCTCTTGTAACATCTCTAATCTTCGACACTTATATGACCTTATTGTGTTGCAAGTGCCGTAAAACTCTTGAAAAAACTTTTTTTTAAAACTCTTCGTAAAAGTAAAATAAGCTCTCTTGTTTTCAGCTTATGTTTGGAACTCCTGGTTTTGGGGGTTCTTTTTTTTTAGTTCCAGGAGCCTTTGGCCCTGTGAATGTGTATATGTATGTCTGCCTAGCTAGTGTAAAACTCTCTGAAAAACTTATTCCGTATGTATAGTCTTGTACACTTAACACTTACAGTACCAAAGGCTCATACAGTAAAAACCTCCAAGTACCACACCAGTTTAGAACGCTGAAACCGTTGTAGAATTTTTTTAATTAAAAAAAAACCTTGGCAGCCCAAGAAACACAATTAGAGGCTCATTGACTATTAAGCTGTTATATAGAGTGTCTTCCTTTGGTATTTACTTCTGCACAGTGCGTCCATTCGTTGTTTAATTATGATTAGTGTGGCGCCAGCGGTAGTAAGCGCTTACTACGGCCTTGCGACTTTGCCTGCAGTAGTGTAAGTGTTAAGTCCTGATATATTTTTCTTACTCTCCCCCTCTCCCTAGATGTGGCTGTGGAGAGAGAGGTGGAGGGAGATCTGATCCTGGGAGACATGGGCTATGGACTGCCATTCCGCCCAGGGACGTTTGACGGAGTTATCAGGTAAGTGTCGGTGGCCAGACCTGAGGGTTACTGAGTGTGCATTTCAAGTTATACGATAAATACACTGAAATATTCAGGGTGATGTACAAGCTGGGATGACCTTTTTTTATTTATAGAAAGATGACTGATTATTGTAACATTCGAGAAGTGATGATGATTTGTTTTCCAGAAATGACCTGCAAGCAGCGGTGGTCTTTTTTAGTATTGTTCCGAAACAGCTGGTTATTGACTTTTGACGTTAGTGTTAGGAGGCTTTTGTGTTGAGTTTTAAGGTCAAATATCTTTTTAGTCACATGTTTCTGCGCGAGTTTGTTTTGGAGAGGATGAATATTTCCACAAGTGCATGCACACAAACCTGAAAGTTTTCCAATAATTTTTCCAACGTGACTGTCTGTTCTATGCTCCTCGCAGTATCTCAGCACTACAGTGGTTATGCAACGCAGACAAGAAGTATCACTCTCCAGCCAAGAGAATGCAAGTCTTCTTCAGAACACTCTATGCCGTCATGGTAGGAAAAGCTGTAGCCTACTTGTTATGTGTATGTGTTGGGGGGGGGGGGGCTGGGTCTTGTTAAGAAGATCATTTTAATAATAATAAATAGCATTTGTATAGCGCATATCCCCGCTCAGCAGCAGGCTCTATGCACTTTACATTATATTATTACCCCAGCAGACCATAGAACACTCTGAAATATTCTCAGCTTCCCGGGAAGAATACAGAGCAAGCTGCGGATTTCACGCGCTCAAACACTATCAAACTGACAAGATCTTTCACTGTCTATAGCTGGGTATCCATTTCCACCTGTGTGAAGTGAGGAAAATTTGTGTAAAGTATCTTTCCCAAGAACACAGCGTCGGGCCCCTGACGAGATTGGAACCCGCGACCTTACGGTTGCGAGTCCGAGAGCCTAACCACGAGGCCACTGACGCCACATTGTAATTTTCAATAATCATAGACTGATTTTGTTGCTGTGTTTGATAACAAATCTATATTGTATGTTACACCTATCAAGTATTAGTAGTTACTTAGTTTTTCCATGGTCTGTCTTTTACAGGGATGTAAATCTTCTGGCTTTTTTTTTCCAGCCGACTTGCCATTTGGGCCCCAGCTTTTATCAAAAGTCTACTATAAACAATACATATTTAACATATTATATATACTAAATAGAGATTATTTGTTGTGATGGAGGGAAAGAACGAATTTTCTATAATTTAGTCTCACTATATTCTTATTGCAGTCAGTGCGTGTGCACCACATATTTTCCAGATTTTTATTTTTTTTAAACCTGTCTACATCCCTGCTTTTACTAGCAGTAAAAATGTCTATGACTGGAAACTAACTTTTGAAGAAAATGGCCTGAATAAAACCCATGTAACACACAATTTAAAAGTTGTCATCCTTCTCTTCATCCTGCATTCTTTCCTTTTCACCATCTTTTTGTCTTTTTCTACCCTGTCTTCATCATTCTTTTCACTCGTTCGCTTTTTTGTTCATTCTGCCCCTTTATCTCTCCCTCTGCTACTGTTTTTGTGATTCCTTCATCGTATGGTCAGTGAATCAAAAAGCGTGTACGTCTGGAACGTTCATTGTCTATGTGATCTGTGAAAGGCGCTCATCTTCTCCTTCTTTCCTATCAAACATCTATCGTCCTTCTCTCTCCTCCTTTTCATGTTTGTTTCTCTCTTGTAACACCTCTAATCTTCAGCTCTTATATGACCTTATTGTGTTGCAAGTGCCATAAAACTCTTACTAAAACTAAAAGGAGCTCAATGAAAGAAAGAGAAGTTCCATGATACACTTACAGGCTACTCTCAAAAATGTCGTGATAGTTCTCAATTTTTATTCATGTGAAAATAAATTTATTTAAAATATGAAATATGATAGAAAGCAGCTTATAAATACTGTCAAAAGTGATATAAGTTCATTCATCCCCTAACCACCCCACCCCCACCCCCCTCCAAATTATCTCTGTGGGTGGTTGGCGGGTGCTCTGGTGTGGTTTGCTTCTTCTTTCCTATCAAACATCTATCGTCTTTATCTCCCCTCTTTCTTTTTGTGTTTGTTACTCTCTTGTAACACCTCTAATCTTTGACACTTATATGACCTTATTGTGTTGCAAGTGCCGTAAAACACTTACTGAAACAAAAAAAATAATCTGGTGACCTGTGGACTTGGATTGTATCGTTGGTCCAAATTTATCTGGCAGTCTGGGAATTTGTTTGGCTCCTCAGTATGTTAGTCCCTGTAATATTTCGGGTGTTTTTATTGTTTTGTTTAAATTTTTTATATTTCTATCCTACATTTGGTTGCTTTTAAGGACAAGAATTCGGAGGTTTCCAGAAATGTTGACCTTAACTAAGGGTGGGCTTTGCCCTACCTATAGGAGAAGTTTGGTTCCATTGGTGTGTATATTTGTTAGGTTATAGAGAAAACTCTCCTTGTCTTTTAAAGAAACTGAGGGGCAAAAGCTTTAACTTCGATTTTCTCAAAACAGCATTTTTAGGGATAGCCCCCTTGTGCTTAACCCTCTATGTACGCCCTGCGGTCATTTTGTATCCCTGGGTTGTATTTTTCATATTTTAGAATACTTCTAGTACAAAAATCTCTTTGAAACTTTCAGTATTTCTCAAAAAATCATTTTGACAGACAGCTATGCAAAGCGTGCGGATCGGATTAACGAGTAAATTTCCTCTTTGAAAGTGGTGGCACAGAGTTCCCCACGTCGTATGGATACGATAGTAAAACACAACGTACGGATAAGGTTAAGTGGTGGCACAGAGTTCCCCACGTCGTATGGATACGATAGTAAAACACGACGTATGGATAGGCTTAAAAGCGACCATTTGTTGTTGCGATGTGTTCACGTCTGTTAATTGTCCTGGTCCATCCACAGAGACGAGGCTCCCGCGCTGTGTTCCAGCTGTACCCGGAGAACAGTGACCAGGTGAGTGACCCCTGACCTCTGTGGTGTACTCAGCACAACTCTTTGTGCTCGGTGCTTGGTTAACTAAATAAATGTGGGTGGTTGTCGGGTGCTCTGGTGTGGTTTGCTTCTTCTGTCCTGTCTAACGTCTATCGTCTTTATCTTCGCTCCCTCTTTTTTTTGTTTGTTACTTTCTTGTAACACCTCTAATCTTCACCACTTATATGACCTTATTGTGTTGCAAGTGCCGTAAAACTCTTACTAAAACTAAACTAAACTAACTGTGCTGAAAGTGCTGTAAAATACGTTTTAACATGGTAACATGTTCCCGTCTTCCCCCAGCTGGAGATGCTGACTCAGCAAGCCATGAAAGCAGGGTTCACCGGCGGGCTGGTGGTCGACTTTCCCAACAGCTCCAAGGCCAAGAAGTACGTCTGTTAAATGACTGTTGTCTGTCTGTGTAGTGTACGTCTGTCACAAGACTGTTGTATGTCTGTGTAGTGTACGTCTGTCACATGACTGTTGTCTGTCTGTGTAGTGTACGTCTGTCACATGACTGTTGTATGTCTGTCACATGACTGTTGTATGTCTGTCACATGACTGTTGTATGAATGTCATGTCACTTGACTGTAGTGTGTCTGCGACATGACTATTGTACGCCTGTCATATATGACTCTTGTAGGCCTACATCTGTTAAATACCTGTCACTTGTCTGTCTTCACTTTCTCTACATTCACTTGGTCTTGAAAGAATTTCTATACATTTTTGTGAAAGAATACAAAATCAGAAGATCTAATCATGTGTACTTTTTTACAGGGATGCCATTTTTTTCGTTGTTTTGGACACCATCCGTTCTTAAATCCGTTTTCCGCTTATCGGATTCGGATTCATTCTTTGTTAACCAAGCAAAAGTGGTTGTGCAGTAAGCCGATTTTCTGTTTTGTTTCATATACGGACGGAGTGGCACGAGGATCCATATTTTTAATCAACGGAAGTACACTCACTGTATCAAAATGTGCATAAATGTGCCTGATCAACCGGATGTTTAGGTCCATTTGAAATGTAGGGGCGAGGTCTTGCCTTGCTCACTCAATCTCGAAAAACATTTCAGTTATTTTTGCAAAAGTCCAAGGGCATCCTTGTTTTTAAATTGTTCTCTTTAGTTTAATGGCCACTGGTGTGTATAGAGCTGTATGTATGTATGCCTGTGAGGCATGTGGCGGTTAATGTATGTTTGACTGCTGACTAAGGAATATAGGTATGTGAGGCGAGCTGACAAAATGAGTTACTTCTCGCTGTCCAAGAATGGAGATATCGGCCAAAAATCGACACTGCCGTCAGATTTATAGATTCTAATTGATGCCATTTTGTTCTAGTCTACCATGTCTTTTTATTATTTATTTATATATTTTTTATTACAAATTGTACAAACTCCACCTATAAAGTTGATGTATTAATTTTCATAAGGCTAAAATCGGAGAAGTAACTCATTTTGTGAGCACACCTCACATATCTCATCTGGTATCGTATATCAAGTTATTTGGATGTATTGAAAAGTTTCCTGATGCTTTTTGCTTTCCCCTTTTCAGCAGTATATTTTCTTCCAATTGATTTCTGTTTCTTTTTTTTTTTTTCTCTCTCCCTCTCTCCACTCTCTCCCTCCCTCTCTCTCTCTCTCTCTCTCTCTCTCTCTCTCTCTCTCTCTGTCTCTCTCTCTCTGTCTGTCTCTCTCTCTCTCCTTCTCTCTCTCTCTCTCTCTCTCTCTCTCTCTCTCTCTCTCCCTCCCTCCCTCTCCCTCTCTCTCTCTCTCCCTCTCTCTCTCTCCCTCCACCACTCTCTCTCTCTCTCTCTCCCTCTCTCTCTCTCTCTCTCCCTCCACCACTCTCTCTCTCCCTCTCTCTCTCTCTCTCTCTCTCTCTCTCTCTCTCTCCCTCTCCCTGCCTCCCTCCCTCCCACCTGTCTCCGAAATATCTCGACTGATGTATGTTCTTCTTGCGGTCAACCACCAGGATCTTCCTGTGCCTGTTCTGTGGGGGTCAGTCGACAGCGCTGCCCAAGGGTCAAGGGACGGAGGAGAGCAGCTCAAACACAGCTCAGATGGCTGGCAGAAGGTGAGGAAGGCTGCATCTGTGTCTTTGGTCTTGAGCTGTATTCTGTTTGTGATTTTTATACTGTGTGTCTGAGGTCTTGTGCGGATGGTTCGTGGGTGGTTGGCGGGTGCTCTGGTGTGGTTTGCTTCTTCTTTACTATTAAACATTTATCGTCCTATTCTCTCCTTCTTTTTTATGTTTGTTACTCTCTTGTAACACCTCCAATCTTCTGGTGCTCATATGACCTTATGTACCTGCCAGCGCAGTGTAAAACCTCTACTAAAACTGAAACTAGCGGATGGTTGGAGTGAACCGCTGGTGGCTCCTACCTCTTTACTTTCCCTCTGTTGTTTCTGTCTGCTTTTCTTACCGGAGAGCAGCTCTAACACAGCTCAGATGGCCGGCAGAAGATGAGGAAGGCTACATTTGTGTGGTACGGGGTTGTTCTTGGAATAAAGTGTGTGTGTGTGTACGTTGGCCTATGTGTGGGAGAGATGTGAATGTGTTGAATGTGCAGTTTTGTCTGTCTTTGAGTCGACTGTGGGTCTCAAGTTGTGAGTTGTGCGTGGTCTGCACTTGAAAAGTTTTTATTTGTCTGTATGTTTAATTTCTGTCTGAAGTCTTGAGCTGTGTGTGTGGTCTGTGGTGAGAGATTTTGTCTGTGTGTAGAATAACCCTGTCTTACATTATGAGGCTATGTGCTGTTTATAATGTTTACACTGTGTGATTGGCAGGTTCTCTCATGTGGTTTACTCCTTCTTTCCTATCAAACATCTATCGTCCTCATCTCCCCTCCTTCTATTTTGTGTATGTTACTCTCTTGAAACACCTTTAATCTTCGGCACTTATATGACCTAATTGTTTTGCAATTGCTGTAAAACTCGTACTTTAAAAAATTATTGAAAAAAACAAACCACTGTGTGTCTGAGGTCTTGTGCAGGTAGATGGAGTGCACTACTGATAGGTCCTACTTCTTTACTTTCCCTCTGTTATTTTTGTCTGCCTGTCTTACCGCTTCTCGGCACAAAGTGGTTGTTAATGTGTTGATCTGCTACTCTGTACTGAAACAAACAAACAAACATGGGTGGTTGGCAGGTGCTCTGGTGTGGTTTTCTCCTCCTTTCCTGTAAAACATCTATCGTCCTTTTCTCTCCTCCTCCGTTTTTTGTGTATGTTTCTTTCTTGTGACACATCTACTCTCAGCACTTCTATGACCTTATTGTATTGGGAATGCCGTAAGACCCGTACGGGGGCTCTCGTGGCCTAGAGGTTAAGGTGTTGGCCTCTCATTCAAAGGTCCCGGGTTCGAATCCGGGTAGCAACCAAAAAATTTTCTTCTCTAAAATTGTCTCCTTTCACCTCCTTTCCTGCTCTCTTGCAATGTTCAGTTGTCTGCTTTCGACTTTCTGCCCCCACCCCCTCACCTCCTTTGCCCCCCTCCTCT